TGATGAAAATCTGCTCTAGGTCAACTGAAATTACTAGCAAGCCCTAGAAGCACTCTTTAGGCTGTTAGAACCAAGAATTTTGTGGGTTTTTATTTTGTTTTGTTTGTTGTTTTTTTGAGAGAGGGTCTTGCTCTGATAGACAGTCTAGAATGCAGTGGCTTACTCATAGCTTGCGGCAACCTCAACCTGCCAGGCTCAAGCCATTCTCCTGCCTCAGCCTACCAAAGTGCTGGGATTACAGGCGTGAGCCACTGCCACCTGCTGAGGTTCTTCAGTCTTTACTTATTTCTTACTTTTAGTAATAGTGGTAAACCTTGCTGAAGTTAAAGGTTCTGCATTAACTGGATGAAGTTGTTGGCTTAAATTTTGAGAGGCAGGGCATCAAAGGTGGTAGTGCTAAAATTCTCTGGATGTTTTTTTATGTTGTTGTTTTTTTTTTTTTTTGGAGACAGTCTCGCTCTGTTGCCCAGGCTGGAGTGCAGTGGCGCAGTCTTAGCTCACTGCAACCTCCACCTCCCAGGTTCAAGCAGTTCTGCCTCAGTCTTCCAAGTAGCTGGGACTATAGGCACATGCCACCACACCTGGCTAATTTTTGTATTTTTAGTAGAGACGGAGTTTCACCATGTTGGCCAGGCTGGTCTCGAACTCCTGACCTCAGGTGATTTGCCCACCTCGGCCTCCCAAATTGCTGGAATTACAGGTGTGAACCACCACGCCCAGCTGGAATTCTTTCCCTAACCCTGACAATATTACTTACCTGATACGTGGCTAGAAGTGTGGCTGTGGCTACATTGCTGGTAGGAGAATATATATATATATATTTATTTATTTATTTTTATTATTATTATTTTTTTTTGAGACGGAGTCTCACTCTGTCACCCAGGCTGGAGTGCAGTGGTGCTCCCGGGTTCATGCCATTCTTTGGATGCCTCAGACTCCTGAGTAGCTGGGACTACAGGCACCTGCCACTACACCTGTCTAATTTTTTGTATTTTTAGTAGAGACAGGGTTTCACCTTGTTAGCCAGGATGGTCTCGATCTCCTGACCTCGTGATTCACCCACCTTGGCCTCTCAAAGTGCTGGTATTGCAGGCGTGAGCCACCGCGCCCGGCCGAGAATAGAATTTAATAGAACTAAAACAGTGTTATTATTTCTATGAAAAAACAAAAACAAAAAACCTGTACTGCTGTACTTTTATGGTTGTTTTAGAATGTGCTCCTTCTTCTTTAAAAAAAAAAGATTAACTGTGAAACAGCCTCAGGTCTTCAGGAGGTATTCCAGAAGAAGGCATTGTTATCCTAAGAATGGTAGTTCCATGCATGTTATTGCACTTGAAGACCTTTCAGTAGGGCCTGATGTGGAGGCGGAAGAAGTGGTACTGAAGATTCTGTCCTACTGATTTTAAGAAGGAAAAGGGAGTAATCATTTTTCTTATTTTTCCTTTAATATTATCTTTCCTTTACCTGGAAAAGTGTCACCATTTAACTTTTCCTTTACAAAAAAATGTTCCTTAAGACCGTAATTGTTGGCCTGGCATGGTAGCTCATGCCCATAATCCTAGCACTCTGGGAGGCCAAGGTGGGAGGATCTCTTGAGCCCAGGAGTTTGAGACAAGCCTGGGCAACATGGCAAAACCCTGTCTCTACAGAACAACAACAAAAAAAATGCCCTACATGGTGGCATGCACCTGTGGTCCCAGCTACTCAGGAGGCTGAGGTGGGAGGATCACTTGAGCCCGGAGGGGTTGAGGCTGCAGTGAGCCATGATTGTGCCATTGCACTCCAGCCTGGGAGACAGAGCTTGAGACCATTTCTCAGAAAAAAAAAAGATTATAGTTGTTGTAATTTGTATATATGTTACACATATGTATTATGTGTTATGTGAGCTTTATTGTTTGAAGCTGTGTAGTGTGTTTTCAGGCAGAGTTTCAGGCATTAGGACTTGACCCCAAAATAGCAATTGAGCTAATAGAGTTTGGTAGGAACATTAAGTATTTAAGAATAATATATATGATTTCTTGACATATTCTTCTTTATTTGCTTGAAGTTTGTTTTTTATATTAAAAGAAAATGAAGCTAAGAAATAAATGTGTTGCAGCCTTTTTTTCCTCTTACTACTTTGGAATGCAGGTTTTTTTTTTTTTTTTTTTTTTTACTTTTTGGAGACAGGGACTCACTTTGTCACCCAGGCTGGAGTGCAGGTGGTGCAATGACAGTTCACTGCAGACTTGACCTCCCAGGCTCAGGTGATCCTGCCACCACACCCAGCTAATTTTTTGTACTTTTTGTAAAGAAGGGTTTTGGCCATGTTGCCCAGGCAAGTCTCAAACTCCTGGCCTTGAGCGATCCGCCCAACTTGGCCTCCCAAAGTGCTGGGATTACAGGTGTGAACCACCATGTCCAGCCAGGATGCAACACTCTAACAAAAGGAAAATTTATTCTTGTTGAAGGTTTGTAGTACAGGCTTTGACAAAAGAAGATATTTGATTGCACCTCGTGAGAGAGCCATTGCCTTCTTAACATTGACTTGGGGTCAGGCGCAGTAGCTCACATCTGTAATCCTAGCACTTTGGGAGGCCGAGGCGGGCAGATCACTTGAGGTCAAGAGTTCGACACCAGCCTGACCAACGTGGCGAAACCCTGTCTCTACTAAAAATACAGAAATTAGCTGGGTATGGTGGTATGTGCCTGTAATCCCACCTACTCAGGAGGCTAAGGCAGGAGAATTGTTTGAGCCCGGGAGGCGGAGGTTGCAGTGAGTCGAGATCGACCCACTGTACTCCAGCCTGGGTGACAGAGTGCAACCCCTGTCTCCAAAAAATATGTATGTATATTGATTTGGAAGGCCCAAGTATAATTACTTGGTGGAAATCAAAAAGTAGAGTCAGCTCTGTGTAAAGAAGATACTTCAGCATGAATGGAGTTAGCCATTAGTAGAAACAGGCCAGAAGGAAGGTACAAGCTGTAGTATGAGTAACACACAGACACAGACACAGACTTGTAATAACATTAAGATTTACCTCTCCTCAATGTCTTTGATGTGATTGTCTAACACTGTAATTATTTTTAATTACTGTTATTATTTTTTGAGACAGAGTCTTTCTGTGTTGCCGAGACTGGAGTGCAGTGGTGCAATCTCGGCTCACTGCAACCTCTGCCTCCCAGGTTCAAGCAATTCTCCTGCCTCAGCCTCCCAAGTAGCTGGAATTACCGGCACCTGCCACCATGCTCCGCTAATTTTTGTATTTGTAGTAGGGACAGGTTTTCACCATGTTGACCAGGCTGGTCTTGAACTACTACTACTTTGTTTGTTTGTTTGTTTGTTTTTTGAGACAGTCTTGCTCTGTCACCCAGGCGGGAGTGCAGTTGCACAATCTTGGCTTACTGCAAGCTCCGCCTCCCAGGTTCACACCATTCTCCTGCCTTAGCCTCCCGAGTAGCTGGGACTATAGGCGCCCACCGCCATGCGCAGCTAATTTTTTTTAATTTTTAGTAGAGATGGGGTTTCACTGTGTTAGCCAGGATGGTCTGGATCTCCTGACCTTGTGATCTGCCTGCCTTGGCCTCCCAAAGTGCTGGGATTATAGGCTCACGTGAGCCACCGCTCCCAGCCTCTGGTCTTGAACTTCTGACCTTGTGATCTGCCCACCTCGGCCTTCCAAAGTACTGAGATTACAGGCATGAGCCACTGCGCCCGGCCTAACCCTGTAATTATTATACGTTGATTTTTGGCATGCTGATAATTACCTGGAACATAAAGTGTTTGCTGGTAATTCCCTGTTATCTTTGTTTGCTGATTTGTTTTAAACATACCATTGAGTTAAAGTCAGTAATCCCACCAGTTCTACAATACTACTGGAGCGTGTTTTGTATTGTTTTTTGAGATGGAGTTTTCGCTGTTGTTGCCCAGGCTAGAGTGCAGTGGCACGAACTGGGCTCACCACAACCTCTGCCTCCCAGGTTCAAGTGATTTTCCTGCCTCAGTCTCCCAAGTAGGTGGGATTATAGGCATGTGCCACCACGCCTGGCCTTTTTTTTTTTTTTTTGAGAAGAAATCTTGCTCTGTTGCCCAGGCTAGAGTGCAGTGACAGGATCTCGGCTCACTGCAATCTCCACCTCCCAGGTTCAAGCAATTCTTCTGCCTTGGCCTCCCAAGTAGCTGGGATTACAGGCATGTGCCACCACACCAGCTAATTTTTGTATTTTTAGCAGAGACGGGCTTTTCACCATATTGGCCAGGCTGGTCTCCAACTCATGACCTCGTGATCTATATCTATATATCTATCTATATATCTCTGTCTATGTGTCTGTCTGGCTGGCTGTCTATCTATCTATCTATCTGGCCCAAAACATTTTTGGTCCCAAGCATTTTGTATAAAGGGTACTCAGACTGTATAAGGCAAACATGAAAAGGCTAATTCAGCTTCTCTAACCTTCAAGTTCTAATTCTAAATGAATGTCTCATTCTACGACAGTAGACTAAGTTTATAGTGTATGATTTCTTTTTTTCACCGACTCCAATGGTTCAAAGTTATTTCTAATATGAAAATACTTTAGTTTTCTCAAAACTTTTCTCTGCAAAACTAAATTCCAGCTGTCAGCCTTTGAGTGTATAACAAGTAGTAAAGAAAGACTAAATGTAAATGTTAGCAAAATTGATGATTGCTGTCACAGAGCCATAGCTTGATCTATAGAGTGCCTACAGCTTGTGAGGTAAGCAACACATTTGAAACTTATAAATATGTAATTTCTCTTCTGATGTTAAAAAAAAAAAAAGAAAAACTTATAACTAAGAATATAATATTATGGATGTACTATGACAGAGGCTAAAAGTTCTGAGGGCTTTGCGGGGGTGTCCTTTTTAATGAAATACTTGTATGATTTGAAAGGGAATACTCTCAAGAGTATCTTGGCTTAATGAGATTTTAAATAAATTCTATTTCTTCAAAATAGAAATGAGGTCTTTTTTTTAGGAGTCATTTGAATTTGTTTTCTTTCAGAAATCGAGCTATAGCAGATTATCTTCGTTCAAATGGCTATGAAGAGGCATATTCAGTTTTTAAAAAGGAAGCTGAATTAGATATGGTATGTTTTACTTTTTAACAATTCTTCAAAGTAGAGTTAATGAGTGGATTTTTACTCAGGTATCTGTAGTTAACAGTTATGCACAATTTTGTCATTTGTTACTGTGGTCTACTTGGTACTGAACTTGATTTTCACTCCCTTTTTTTATTTTTTATTTTTATTTTTGAGATGGAGTCTCGCTTTGTCTCCCAGGCTGGTGTGCAATGGCGTGATCTCGGCTCACTGCAACCTCTGCCTCCCAGGTTCAAGCGATTCTCCTACCTCAGCCTTCCGAGTAGCTGGGATCACAGGCGGGCACCACCACACCCATCTAATTTTTGTATTTTTAGTAGAGATGGGGTCTCGCCATGTTGGCCAGGCTGGTCTTGAACTCCTGACCTCAGGTGATCCACCCTTCTCAGCCTCCCAAAGTGCTGGGATTACAGGTGAGCCACCGTGTCCAGCCACTCCCTTTTTTTATAATCAGATTTTTAGTAATGTTTGGGATTAAAGATGAGTAATCTTTGGCTTGAGGATCATAGTTAAGCCATTCTTAAAAGGTTCTAACTTTATTTTCTCTAGAATGAAGAATTAGATAAAAAGTATGCTGGTCTTTTGGAAAAAAAATGGACATCTGTTATTAGGTTACAGAAGAAGGTAACTAAGTCTTGTTTCTTTAAAATTAGTTGTATTCAGTTATATAAACTTTCTGAAAATAACTATTCATCTGCATTAATTAATAATTGCATCTAATCTTTAAAAAGCAAATAAAAATACATTTTCTGTGCTTTATGAAAAGTATGACCTAGGCATATTATTGCAGATACATGGTAACTCGCATATCCGGAGTTGCTGACTGGGTGGAATCTGCATAGTCCTGACTTGGAGGAATTGATACTGAAAGAACTCATTTGTGCACTTAGAAGGAAAGAACACATGGAGCCATTGTGATTGATGCTGGGAAAAGAGCACTACATTGTGCTCTTAGACAAGTCATTTTTATCTCTGAGCTTTTCTTCTTATCTGTAAATACAACAAATAATATTCCAGTCCTAAAATGTATACTTCATAGGCAAAGTTAGAATAAGTAAATAACATTGTTATGAGTTGATCATTTATTACGAAGCTCTTAGAAAAGTGCTTAGCACATAGTAGATGCTCAATAAATATTAGCTTTTATTATTAATATGATTACCATATATAATGTGGTTTGGAAAGAACTTACTAAGAGTAGCAGCCTTAGAGGGACCAAGGCAAATTCACTGCCCTTCTTTGATTAGAAGACTCTGTCACCAGATATAAATTGAAGTTTTTCTTTGTGTTAAAGAGTTAAGGCAATTGTACTGAATTTTTCTCAGTTTTTAGTTTCCTCATGACTTAGGTTTTGATGCTGTATAAAATAAATAATTTTCATTTAAATTTGACAAATGCTTGGAGATTACTGAAATTTTTTCAAGTATCCTGCATATATAGTTGCAAAATGCAGTTTTTTAAAATGTCACATGCTATTTTTATTGAAATCTATCTGTACGTAACTACATGCTCTTTTTCAAGGTTATGGAATTAGAATCAAAGCTAAATGAAGCAAAAGAAGAATTTACGTCAGGTGGACCTCTTGGTCAGAAACGAGACCCAAAAGAATGGATTCCCCGTCCGCCAGAAAAATATGCATTGAGTGGTCACAGGAGTCCAGTCACTCGAGTCATTTTCCATCCTGTGTTCAGTGTTATGGTCTCTGCTTCAGAGGATGCTACTATTAAGGTAATTTTTTGCTAAAAGCAGACTTAATAGGGTGAAGAAAATTAAAAGATCCTGAAAATAAGCCGGGCGCGGTGGCTCAAGCCTGTAATCCCAGCACTTTGGGAGGCTGAGGTGGATCACGAGGTCAGGAGATTGAGACCATCCTGGCTAACACGGTGAAACCCCGTCTCTAATAAAAAAAATACGAAAAAATAGCCGGGTGAGGTGGCGGGCGCCTGTAGTCCCAGCTACTCAGGAGGCTGAGGCAGGAGAATGGCGTGAACCCGGGAGGCAGAGCTTGCAGTGAGCTGAGATCCCGCCACTGCACTCCAGCCTGGGCGACAGAGCAAGACTCCGTCTGAAAAAAAAAGATCCTGAAAATGAGGGCCTATGCAGAGGGACAGGAGGTACTCTTTGAAATGTAGTGATTTGGTTCTGAATCTTAAAGACAGAATTGGAATAAAATACCATTGTGGCTCCTGAGAGGCATGCTGCCAGGTAAGTTCGATGGTGAATTTGAGAAAGTCGGGTGTCACTAACTGAGTTGATGTCAGTAGATCACCTTGTGCTTGAACAGTTTTTGTTCTTAGAGGATGAAAAGTGTGTGCCTTACCTTTAAACAGAGGTTGTGTGTGAAATACCATTTGACAAAACTAGTAATTGATAGGGTGAATCTATACTGCAAACGAATTCAGTAGAGGATTCATTTAAATTGGACTTTCCTTGATGTATTTAAAATTGGCTTTCCAGGAGTAGGGGAATATAAGAGCTTTTCATTTTATAAATTATATATTTCATTAAAAAATTTTTTTTCACAGTAAACATATAATACCTTTTAATGTTGTGCTTTTTTAATTAGGAAAAGAGTTGTTTTTAAGTTGCCTTTGTTCCAGACACAGTAAAATGACAGTTGTATAAACCTCCTACAGAAAGATAAGATAGTTGCAATATAGGTAGATTTAGGTAGGTCTCTCTATACTAAGGGTTGTTTCAAAGTAAGTTAGTTACAGATATTAAGTTTCATTTACAAAAGTGTAACCAATCGGCTGGGCGCAGTGGCTCACGCCTGTAATCCCAACACTTTGGGAGGCCAAGGCGGGTGGATCATGAGGTCAGGAGATCAAGACCATCCTGGCTAACATGATGAAACCCCATCTCTACTAAAAATACCAAAAAATTAGCCGGGCGTGGTCGTGGGCGCCTATAGTCCCACCTACTCGGAAGGCTGAGGCAGGAGAATGGCGTGAACCCGGGAGGCAGAGCTTGCAGTGAGCTGAGATCACGCCACTGCACTCCAGTCTGGGTGACAGCAAGACTCTGTCTCCAAAAAAAAAAAAAAAAAAAGTATAACTAAGAAAATGTGAGTAGATTTTATATGTCATATAGCAGTTCAGCATAAAATGTAGGCATAGGCCTGGCGTGGTGGCTCAAGCCTGTAATCCCAGCACTTTGGGAGGCCGAGGCGGGTGGATCACAAGGTCAGGAGATCAAGACCATCCTGGCAAACACAGTGAAACCCCGTCTCTACTAAAAATACAAAAAAATTAGCTGGGTATGGTGGCGGGCTCCTGTAGTCCCAGCTACTCAGGAGGCTGAGGCAGGAGAATGGCGAGAACCCAGGAGGCGGAGCTTGCAGTGAGCCGAGCTCGCGCCACTGCACTCCAGCCTGGAGGGCAGAGCAAGACTCCATCTCAAAAAAGAAAAAATAAATACAGGCATAATTTAAATGCGACTGTACTTAACTAGTTCTTCAAATTAAACATTGTTTTACAGTGTGTTTATGTGATTTCTTTAGTTTCTAAATCAGTGACTTGCACCCTGTGGGCTTGTGATTTAGGAGGGTGGCTGTGGAGTCATTGTAAGGGAGTCTTACATTCATACAAGCATCATGGATTTCTAGAGGGTAAAATAATTATATGCCTAATACATTAATATACTCCATTTTAAAAAATAGGTAGACATGCATTTAAATTTTTTTCATGATAGTCTTTCATCGTTATGTACTAAAACACTACAACTGCTCTTGTGAGGTTTGGGATAGAGGTAGACATTCTTTAATAGATGGAAAATTGGCCAGCCGTGGTGGCTCATGCCTGTAATTCCAGCACTTTGGGAGACTGAGGCGGGTGGATCACGAGGTCAGGAGTTCAAGACCAGCCTGGCCAAATGGTGAAACTCTGTCTCTACCAAAAATACAAAAATTAGTCGGGTGTGGTGATGGGCACCTGTATTCCCAGCTACTCGGGAGGCTGAGGCAGGAGAATTTCTTGAAGTCCGGGAGGTGGAGGTTGCAGTGAGCCGAGATTGTGCCACTGCACTCCAGCCTGGGCAACAGAGCAAGACTCTCTCAAAAGAAAAAAAAAAAAAGGTGGAAAATCTAGAATCTAGGCTTAACTGTTGATTTTATAACAGTATTATAAAAGCATAAATAGAACTGTAAATGTACCCCCTTAAAATGTATCTATTAAGTCTGATTTAAAATTATTACAAATGGAAGTTTTAGAACTTTTTATTTGTAATCATACCACGTATCACAGCAACTACTTGGAGTCCACCCTTCAACTTGGTCTTTTTATTTTTATTTTTTTCTGGCCACAGGAAACCTCCTCATACCATTTAGTCTTTAAATGTGCACACATGTGGTTGTTTCATTAATGAAGTAGTTATATATGGTTTTGTTAACTTTTGACTGATTTATTTTAGAAATACTTTTCTTTGTTTCTAATGAATCATCATTTTAGTAACTTTAAGCTGATCATCTTATTTATATAGAGAGGCTTTGTAGGATAGTTAGTGGTCGGGGCACTGGCTCTGGGTTCAAATCCTGGCTCTACCACTCAATAGTTAATGTGATTATGGGCAAGTTAACTTTTTGTGGCTTTCTTGATTTATTAAATGAAGATTATTAATAAATACCTACCTTGTAGGGTCTGGGGGAGGATTAAATGATTTAGGACATGGAAGCTGTTTAAAACAGTTTTTGCTGGCCAGATTCCAGAGGAGCACTCAGTGTCAGCAGTGTATCAGCATCAGTAACAAGCTGTCCTCTTTTGGACTTCGCCTCCCGAGTAGCTGGGATTGCAGGCACCCGCCACCACGCCCAGCTAATTTTTGTATTTTTAGTAGAGATGGGGTTTCACCATCTTGGTCAGGCTGGTCTCAAACTCCTGACCTCATGATCCACCTGCCTCAGCCTCCCAAAGTGCTGGGATTACAGTCGTGAGCCACTGTGCCTGGCCAGCTAAGTTATTTTTAAATGACAACTGCAATAGAATGATTTTCCAAAATACTCAAAGGACAACATACAGAAAGTGTTTTGTAATTTTATGACTATCTTGGGCAAAGGGGTTGATACAGTTAAGGCTCAGTTTTCTTATTTAAAAATATCTGTGTGGTCAGGTGCTGTGGCTCAGATGCCTGTAATCCCAGCACTTTGGGAAGCTGAGGCGGGAGGATCACTTGAGTCCAAGAGTTGGAGGCCAGCCTGGGCAACAAAGTGAGACCTCGTCTCTATTAAATAAGCAAATAAATAAATAACTGTATTATATTCTGCAGTGTAAAAGTAATGCATATGTAATGAATGTAACAGAACAATGCCTGGCAAATAGATGGTAAGGGCTCAATAAACTGTTGCTGATATTATAATTATTAATAACAATAAAATTGTCTTAAATAATGTCTTACATGCATTTGATGAATAAAACTGGTTTCTTTTAAAAACATTCAGTTGTCATCAACCTTTGAACAATAATTTATGAAAAATATTATAGAGGGATGTATATTTAGACCAGTTCATGACAGTATTTTTAATTACATTATTTAAATTTTTAGATTGATTTCTCTGATTGTCATTTAGAGCTAATTTATTTTGAGATGCTCTGTTGCCCAGGCTGCAGTGCAGTGGTGCGATCTTGGCTCACTGCAACCTCTGCTTCCTGCGTTTAGGCAATTCTCTTGCCTCAGCCTTCTGAGTAGCTGAGACTACAGACGTGCGCCCCTAAACCTGGCTAAATTTTTTGTATTTTTAGTAGACACGGGATTTCGCCTTGTTGGCCAGGCAGGCTAATTTCTAACTCCTGACCTCAAGTGATCCACCCGCCTTGGCCTCCCAAAGTACTGGGATTACAGGTGTGAGCCACCGTGCCCGGCTAGAACTAATTTAAACATGGAGAAAGAAGAGGTGAGGTGAGAGGATCGCCTGAGCCTGGAAGGTCAAGGCTGCAGTGAGCTATGGTCATGGCACTGCACTCAAGCCTGGGCAACGAAGCGAGACCCTATCTCTAAAAGATAAGTAAATAAACAGCAAACAAAACTCGAAAATATGTTCAACTAATAAGCAATTGAAAGATTGCCGGCTGGGCGCGGTGGCTCAAGCCTGTAATCCCAGCACTTTGGGAGACCGAGACAGGCGGATCACAAGGTCAGGAGATCGAGACCATCCTGGCTAACATGGTGAAACCCTGTCTCTACTAAAAAATACAAAAAACTAGCTGGGTGAGGTGGTGGGCACCTGTAGTCCCAGCTACTCAGGAGGCTGAGTCAGGAGAACAGCGTAAACCCGGGAGGCGGAGCTTGCAGTGAACTGAGATCTGGCCACTGCAGTACAGCCTGGGCGACAGAGCGAGACTCCGTCTCAAAAAAAAAAAAAAAGAAAGATTACCAACTTTTTTTGTGTGTGAAACAAGGTCTCATTCTGTTGCCTTGGCTGAAGTACAGTGGCACAGTCATGGCTCACTGCAGCCTCGACCTCCCCAGACTCAAGCTATCCTCCCACCACAGCCTCCTCAGTAACTGGGACTATAGGCATGTGCCACTATGCCCAGCTGATTTTTTATTTTTTGTAGAGAGGGGATCTTGCCATGTTGCCCAGGTGTCAAACTCCTGAGCTCAAGCAGTTCTCCTGCCTTTGTCTCCCAAAGTGCTGGGATTACAGTTGTGAACCACCGTGCCCAGCTGGATTGCCAACTTTAATATATAACATGAAGAATTCAGATGTGTAAACCACTAACGTCTCAGAAAAATGGACATAGTACAGGAGCAGACAATTCACAAAAAAAGGTAGTAACAGGCCAGGCGTGGTGGCTCACGCCTGTAATCACAGCACTTTGGGAGGCCGAGGCAGGCAGATTGCCTGAGCTCAGGAGTTCAAGACCAGCCTGGGCAACACGGTGAAACCCATCTCTACTAAAATGCAAAAAAAAAAATAGCTGGGCATGGCAGCGTGCACCTGTAGTCCCAGCTACTTGGAAGGCTGAGGCAGGAAATTGGCTTGAACCCAGGAGGCGGAGGTTGCAGTGAGCCGAGATCACTCCACTGCACTCCAGCGAGGGCAACAGAGCAAGACTGTCTCAAAAAAATAAAAGGTAGTAACAACTAACCAAATAATAACAACAGTTTGACCTTACTACTAACAGCAGAAGAAATAAACACTGAAATTACGGGCCGGGTGTGGTAGCTCATGCCTATAATCCTAGGACTTTGGGAGGCCAAGGTGGGAGGACTGTTAAAGCTCAGAAGTTAGAGACCAGCCTGGGCAACATAGCAAGACCTCGTCTGTACTTAAAAAATTAGCCAGGTGTGATGGCCTATGCCTGTAGTCCCAGCTACTCGGAAGGCTGAGGTGGGAGGATCACATGAGCCTGGGAGTTGGAAGCTGCAGTGAGCTATGATTGAGCCACTGTACTCCAGTGTGGGTAACAGAGTGAGACCCTGTCTTAAAAAAATTGCGCCAGGTCCGGTGGCTCACGCCTATAATCCCAGCACTTTGGGAGGCCAAGGCACGTGGATCACAAGGTCAGGAGATCAAACCATCCTGGCTAACATGGTGAAACCCTGTCTCTACTAAAAAATACGAAAAATTAGCCGGGTGTGATGGCAGGCACCTGTAATCCCAGCTACTCGGGAGGCGGAACTTGCAGTGAGCCGAGATCACGCCAGTGCACTCCAGCCTGGGTGACAGAGGGAGACTCTGTCTCAAAAAAAAAAAAAAAAAAAAAAATTACCGTGTGTGTGTGTGAAATTGTCAAGATATTTTACCTATTAAATAAGAATCCCCAGTGATGAGTTTGATAAAGTAGTCATTCTCATTACATTTGATACAGTCTTATGGGATATCAGTTTAACAGAGTATATGAAGGCTTTAAAAGTTTATACTTTTTGACCCACTAATTCTTTTTCCCCATTGCTGTCTGACCTAAGTATTATAAAATGAGGACAGAATTTTTTTATATTCAGAAATGTTCACCATAATGTTTTCTATAATGGTGGTTTAGCCCGCAATTTTTTTTTTTTTTTTTTTTTTTTTTTTGAGACGGAGTTTTACTCCTGTTGCCCAGGCCAGAATGCATTGGTATGATCTCGGCTCACTGCATTTTCTGCTTCCCGGGTTCAAGCAATTCTCCTGCCTCAGCCTCCCGAGTAGCTGGGATTACAGGTGCCCACCACGAAGCCCAGCTAATTTTTTGTATTTTTAGTAGAGACGAGGTTTTACCATGTTGGCCAGGATGGTCTTGACCTCCTGACCTCAGGTGATCCACCCGTCTCGGCTTTCCAAAGTGCTGGAATTACAGGCATGAGCCACCATGCCCAACCGAGAATTCTTTTAAAAGTAATACTTTCTGAGTGTTTAGTGGCACAGGAAAATATTTGTGATAAGAAGCAGGAGGAGGGATGAGCACAGTGGCTCACACCTGTAATCCTAGTGACTCAGAAGGCGAAGACAGGAGGATCGATTTGAGGCCAGGAGCTCTAGACCCACCTGGGCGACATAGCGAGGCCCCGTCTCTACAAGAAAGAAATAATTACCTGGGTGTGGTGGTGTGTACCTGTAGTCCTACTTCCTGTGGAGGCTGAGGTGGGAACAACACTGAAGCCCAGAATTCGAGGTTACTGTGAGTTGTGATCACACCACTCCACTTCACCACGGGCCACAGAGGGAGACCCTGTCAATTAAAATGAGAGAAAGAGAAGAAAGAACATAGGGCCAGGTGCAGTGGCTTACCCCTGAAATCCCAGCACTTTGGGAGGCCCAGGCGGGTGGATCATGAGGTCAGGAGATCAAGACCATCCTGGCCAACATGGTGAAACCCCATCTGTACTGAAAATACAAACATTAGCCAGGTGTGGTGGCGCATGCCTGTAGTCCCAGCTACTCAGGAGGCTGAGGCAGGAGAACTGCTTGAACCCGGGAGGTAGAGGTTGCAGTGAGCTGAGATTGCGCCACTGCGCTCCAGCTTAGGCAACAGAGTGAGACTCCATCTCAAAAAAAAAAAAGAAAATGGAAGAGTTTGAGATAAGCCTGGGCAACATACTGAGACCCCATCTCTACAAAACATCAAAAAGTTAGCCAGGCATGGTGGTGCACACCTGTGTAGTCCCAGCTACTCGACAGACTAAGACAGGAAGATCTCTTCAGCCCAGGAGTATGAGGCTACAGTGATCTCTGATCACACCACTGCACTCCAAAATTATCTTTTTAAAATGTGACTGTTCTTTTTTTTTTTTTTGAAACAGTCTGGCTCTGTCGCCCAGGCTGGAGTGCTGTGATACAATCTCAGCTCACTGCATCCTCTGCCGCCCGGGCTCAAGTGATTCTCCCACCTTAGCCTTCCATCCTGATTAGCTGGGACCACAGTCACGCACCACCACACCCAGCTAAGTTTTGTATTTTTAGTGGAGACCAGGGTTTTACTATGTTGGCCAGGATCGTCTCCAACTCCTGACCTCAGGTGACCCGCCCACCTCAGCCTCCCAAAGTGCTGGGATTACAGGTATGAGCCACTGCACTTGGCCAAAATTTTATATATATTTTTATATATAAAAATATATATATATAGTTTTTTGAGGTGGAGTCTTGCTCTGTCGCCCAGGCTATAGTGGATCTCAGCTCACTGCAACCTCTGCCTCCCAGGTTCACGGCCATTCTGCCTCAGCCTCCCGAGTAGCTGGGACTACAGGTGCCCGCCACCATGCCCGTCTAATTTTTTGTATTTTTAAGTGGAGACGGTGTTAGCCAGGATGTTCTCGATCTCCTGACCTTGTGATCCGACCGCCTCGGCCTCCCAAAGTGCTGGGATTACAGGCATGAGCCACCACGCCCGGCCATATTTCACTTTTTAACTCAAAATGACATATGCTTTTGTTCATTTGCTATTCGTGAACAGTTTACATCTTCTGAAACTTTCCTTGGCTCTTCAGATGTCTGAGTTTTGCTGGTCTAGTAGGATTGAGTATTGATCCATTATTCCTCAAATACTCTACATACAAATACCTGCTATAGCCCCCTTAAGGTCCTTCCCTTCCCCTTCCCCTTTTCTTTTCTTTCCCTTTCCTTTCCATCTCTTTCTTTTCTCATACTTCTTCCCCTAAAGTTTCCTTATTTACATGTCTTTCCTGCTCTGAGACAGGAAACGGACTGTGTTTTGTGACTTTATTATACTTTATCACTATTACAGTTGGTTATGTGATAGAAACCTTGCAAATGTGGTACTAGAGATAGATTTTAATAATTGCAACGTTCGTTTTCCCTGTAGAAAAAAGACCAATTTGTACATGAGATACAGTATTTCTAAGTTAGTTATCTTTTGTTACTTGTTTGGTTAATTGCTCAATAAGGTGCCAGACTGGCCTGCTGAGTGCAAATATGAAACAAGAAAGGAGTGATGGAGTTGGTGTTAAACAGTTTTCTGTTCACTTGACAGGTGTGGGATTATGAGACTGGAGATTTTGAACGAACTCTTAAAGGACATACAGACTCTGTACAGGACATTTCATTCGATCACAGCGGCAAGCTTCTGACTTCCTGTTCTGCAGATATGACCATTAAACTATGGGATTTTCAGGGCTTTGAATGCATCAGAACCATGCATGGTAAGGGGTAGAGGATAGTACTTTAATAGTAATTTCTATCATGGTACTTCAGAAAGAATATTGTTTCTAATAGTGTACGGGGTTCCTTTATGCACCTCTTAATTGTCTGTATTGGTGGAAGAGCGTACGATGTAGATAGTCCAGGGATAAGTCACAGTAGTTGAGAGTCGTTTCTATTACGAGGTTTTAAGTATCTCTTAGTACTTTATATAAAATATTTGTATGAGTATTTTTTGGTAAGAAAAACTGCCAGGTCGTTTATCTGTATTTGAGTTAAAAATGGTTTTGTTTGTGTTTTATTAATTTCTCGTAGTTGGGAAACTGAAGACCAGAGAGAGTAGGTATAGTGAAAAGTGGAGCCCAGTTTATCTTGCTCACTTAAATGGAATAAGGGTACATATCCCGTGCCCTCATTCATTGTTAAGTTGTTTCCTGGGTCTTGTTGTGGGAACTGTTTTCTGAGGCAGTATGTTTGTGGAACGAGAGTATATTTGCTTTAGAGACAGGTACCTGGGTTCAGATTCCTACTTGTCTACTTATGGCATTAGAAAATTTAAACCTCTTTCATCAGCAAAACAGAGGTAATAATACCAGAGTCATACAGTTGTCATGAGGATAAAATGAAGTCATAAGATAAATCATCTTGGTGTAGTACCTGCCACGTAGGAGATGCTCATTACGTAGGGATTTTTGTTGTTTCTTTACACATGATGACATTTGAATGTTGGGATTTTGTACAAGGAGTGCATACAGATTATCCATGATGTTAACACATGAGTAAACTGTGTGTTTACCTAAAGGGCATAATTTGAAGATTGTGTTCTCCTCGCCCCCCCGCGCCCAATTAAATGCATTGGGGAAGTTTATAATTACAGGAATTCCACACATGAACACTTTTTTTCTTTTTTTGAGATGGCCTCTTGCTTTGTCACCCAAGCTGGAGTGCAGTGGTGCGATGTTGGCCCACTGCAACCTCTACCTCCCAGGTTCAAGTAATTCTCCCACCTCAGCCTCCTAAGTAGCTGGCAGTACAGGTGAGCACCACCACGCCCAGCTAATTTTTGTATTTTTAGTAGAGACAGGGTTTAACCGTATTGGCAAGGCTGGTCTTGAACTCCTGACCTCGGGTGATCCGCCCGCCTTGGCCTCCCAAAAGTGCTGGGATTACAGGCGTGAACCACTACGCCTGGCCCACCGTTTTAAACAGAGAACCAGTTCCCCATTTTTCTTACCCATTCGTTTTATCTTTTTTATATTTTAGAGTATCAGTCTACAGGCTAGGCACAGTGGCTCACACCTATAATCTCAGCACTTTTAGAGGCCAAGGCAGGAGGGATTGCTTGAGGACAGGAGTTCAAGACCAGTGTGGGCAAAATACGGAGATCTTGTCTCTACAAAAAATTAAAATGTTGTGGGTGTGGTGGTGCCACACCTGTGTAGTTCCAGCTACTTGACAGCTGAGGCGGGAAGAGCTCGTGGGCCCAGGAGTTTAAGGCTACATGAGCTGTGATTGCGCCACTGCACTTTAGCCTGGGTGACAGAGCAAGTCCTTGCCTCACCAAAAAAAAAAGAAAGAAATTGTTTTTCCTAGCGTTTATATGTAAACAGACTCACTGAGGTAAGTATATGAATATATTTCAAATGTTGATAATCCTGATACCTTACGTTTTTAAACCATTTGTACAGGTTGAAATTTAATCCTAAATGGAGTTGACTGTTTCCTTGTGGATTGTTTTTACTGATTTTTTTAACTTTATCGTGTAAATCCAGGTTTCTTATCAAATTTGTATAAAATCCAGTGTATTTAGAACTTGCTTTGACGTGGGGAGACCCCATGGTGAATTGATGTCTCACTGCTCTTGGGGGTGCTGCTTCCTAATGTGCCATAACGCACCGCCGTGCTGTGTGTTTCAGGCCACGACCACAATGTCTCCTCAGTAGCCATCATGCCCAATGGAGATCATCTAGTGTCCGCTTCAAGGGATAAAACCATAAAAATGTGGGAAGTGCAAACTGGGTAAGTAAGCTTGGTTGAAAAGGCATCAGTGGCTCACACCTGTAATGCCAGTGCTTTAGGAGGCTAAGGCAGGCAGATCACCTGGTCCGGAGTTGAAGACCAGCCTGACCAAATGGTGAAACCCCGTCTCCACTAAAAATACAAAAATTAGCCAGGCTTGGTGGGGCACACCTGTAATCCCAGCTACTTGGGAGGCTGAGGCAGGAGAATTACTTGAACCCGGGAGGCGGAGGTTGCAGTGAGCCAAGATCGTACCAGTGCCCTCCAGCCTGGGCAACAAGAGTGAGACTGTCTCCAAAAAAAAAAAAAAAAAAGGCATCAGCTTAAAGACATATTTATAAAAAACAAAACAAAATTGTGTTCTGGTGTTTCAGTCATTTCAGCTTTAACCCAGAATGATCATTATGACAGTCATATTAAATACACTTTAAAACTCAGCTTGGTCTGTACCTGTCTTCCAAAAAGGAGCACAGAGACATGGTAAGAAGAGACTCCATGTCCTTGAGAGGCTTTTCTGTGTGATGGCTTCTTTCCTCTGTGGTCTTCTTTTAGGTCATCTCTCTGTGGGTTTTAATGAAAATGTAAATAATGTTTGTGCTGGTATACCTCTGTTAGACTGAATTTGGTTGTGCGTAAAATTACACTTGATTTTTGTCACACAAACTTACTAGTTTTACTCAGATTAGTAGAGCATAGCTTTTTTCCAATATGGCTAGAAATATTTTTAAGTATGCGTTTAGTTTTGAAATATTTTATTTCTTATATATATTTTATCTTCTAGATGTTGATTTTGTTAGCTCCTTAATGATGCGCCTGTTAGCTTGTTGTTCCCACTTTAATTAGCCAGGATTGTACATTTATGCTGTCGACTTGCATTTCTGACTTGGTACCATTCTCTTCATCCCAGTACATAGCTATTTTTATATCACTTCTGGAAAGTGTCCCGATGATTGTCATTCACAATGTAAGTTATTATTTATATTGACAGCTACTGTGTGAAGACATTCACAGGACACAGAGAATGGGTACGTATGGTACGACCAAATCAAGATGGCACTCTGATAGCCAGCTGTTCCAATGACCAGACTGTGCGTGTGTGGGTCGTAGCAACAAAGGAATGCAAGGCTGAGCTCCGAGAGCATGAGCATGTGGTAGAATGCATTTCCTGGGCTCCAGAAAGCTCATATTCCTCCATCTCTGAAGCAACAGGATCTGAGGTACTGTATATATAAACTTGTCTTCACGGTTTTATTGCTGATATCTTAAATCCTTAGATAACTTTGCTGATTCCCAGTTTCATGGCTGTTAATGCATTTAAAAATCTGCATCCCAGAATTCTGAATCTTGAAATTCTCTACTCTTCACAGTGTCTGTCAGAAAAATAGCCTTCATTAATGAACATAATAATTTTATTTATAAATTTATGGTAAAATGCAGTTCAGTATTTATTTTTTAAAATTAATCCCAGATGTGATGGTATAAATTTTTCTTTAAATGAAGACTATTTCATATGGTGGCCTCTGATGTTCTTGATCATTTAAAAGTACTAGCTGAGTCTGGAGCTTTAACACATTTCTTTGTGATTCTTTGTGCTCTTTATGATTTTGGTCTTTCTGATTAACATGTTAAAAATAAATTACCTACAAGGTACAGCGGCACATGGCTATAGTCCCAGCTACTCAGGAGGCTGAGGCAAGAGGATCACTTATGTCCAGAAGTTAAAGTTCAGCCTGGGGCAACAGAGCAAGATCCCTGTTTCTAATAAATGAATGAAAATGAATGGTCTAAAAGTTTTGTTTGTTTTTGAGACAGTCTCACTCTGTTGCGCAGGCTGGAGTATAGTAGCGTGATCTCAGCTCACTGCCACCTCTTTCTCCCGGGTTCAAGCGATTCTTCTGCCTCAGCCTCCTAAGTACCTGGGACCACGGATGCATGTGCCACCCTGCCAGCTAATTTTTTATATTTTTAGTAGAAACAAGGTTTTGCCATGTTGGCCAGGCTAGTCTCAAACTCCTGACCTCAAGTGATCTGCCTGCCTCAACTTCCTAAAGTTCTGGGGTTACAGATGTGAACCACTGCGCCCAGCCCCACACTGATTTTGATAGAGGCATTCCTATCGTGTATTTTTAAAACTACATTTCAATAAAGAAAAGAGGCAGTTCCCTCTTAAATGAATCTTCTCTTGTGAGTTCTCTTTATTTTGGTTGGCCCATTGCATTTTCAGATTCTGTTTACTGCCCTTTGGTGGTGGTTACATGCTGTGTGTCATAAATTTGATTCTGGTGCATCACACCGCCAGAGGTATGATGACTCACGCCTGTAATCCCAGCACTTTGGGAAGTCAGGGAAGGAGGATCACTTGAGCCCAGGAGTTTGAGCAACATAGCAAGACCCCTGACTCTACAGAAAGCTTTTTTTTTGTTTTTTTTTTTTTAAACTCACCACTATACTAATGAGGAAAAAATTTTCAGTAACTCAGCCAGGTGTGGTGGTGCACTCCTGTAGTCCCAGCCACTCAGGAGACTGAGGCAGGAAGACTGCTTGATCCCAGGAGTTCAGAGCTGCAGTGAACTGTGATTGTTCCACTGCACTCCAGCCTGGGTGACAGAATGAGACCCTGTCTTGAAATAAATGAATATTCCCTAATGCAGATCAAAAAAATAAATAAATAAATTTGATTCTGGTTGGATTTGTAAAAGCTAAATTAAATAGTGATTACAGAAATGTTGAAAAGTAAATGTATTATCTGTTGGTTTTATGAAAACTGAGTCCTAGCCTAAACAGAGATTTTCTGTTCTTATATTATCTGGGTCCTTCCTGTATAGCCTAGGTATGGTGTTAAAGACTTGTGTATTTCAACAGATAAAAACAAATTGGGCTGGGTGCAGTGGTTCAAAAGCCTGTAATTCCAGCACTTTGGGAGGCCGAGGTGGTCCAATCACCTGAGGTTAGGAGTTCGAGACCAGCCTGCCCAACATGGCAAAACCCCATCTCTGCGAAAAATACAGAAATTAGCCTGGTGTGGTGGTGCACACCTGTAATCACACCTACTCAGGAGGCTGAGGCAGGAGACTCGCTTGAACCCGGGAGGCGGAGGTTGCAGTAAGCCGAGATCGTGCCACTGTACTCCAACCTGGGCAATAGAGCCAGACTCTGTCTCAAAACAAACAACCAAAATGCAACAAAATTGGAAATATAGATCATTATTAGGTAGAAACCATTTAAAGTCTGTACCTAACTTCTTGTGTAGGCAACTTAATTTTTATTATGTTTTCTGTAGACTAAAAAAAGTGGTAAACCTGGGCCATTCTTGCTGTCTGGATCCAGAGACAAGACTATTAAGATGTGGGATGTCAGTACTGGCATGTGCCTTATGACCCTTGTAAGTTTGCATAATCCTACCGTTTCTTTTGTATCTTCACTGTTTATACCTTTTTGGATTAATGCTTTGTGATATCTTATTAAATCTGAATTATACTGGGTTTTAAAATAACTTCTTTATAAATATAGTTTTCCTTTAGCTTTTGTCGTTACAGTGATGTGAAAGTTATTTCTCTAGAATGCAGGTTCTATAAAGAATCTGTAGAGCTAGTCGGTGTTTGAGGGAGAGATGCTAAAAAATTGTGTTGTATCTCTTATGGAGAAGCAGCAGCATTCTTAGAGACCTGTTCACTGTTGAAGATGTTTGTTTGTCTGTTTCACTTTATTTGAATCCTTTTAACTGTTATATATCCTTGCTCACATAATCTAGTTTATTTGGCTTACTTAGGAGCATATTTCCATAGAAAGATATGTCAGTACTAGTAAGGGATTGTTGACACTGCTGTGTGCCTAAAGGAGTTCCAAAGAGATCTATGGATGTTCATTTAGTAGTAGTTTTTATAATTTGGCATCCACGTTTGTTTAGAGATTTTTTAGGTGCTAACCATACCTTGAAGTGATTGTCTCTCTGTAGGATATGACAGACACATGTAGAAGCATCTTCAAGAATTGATTAGAAAATGAAACTTTCTAGTAGTATTCTGAGCTGAGTTCAGCTGTACCATGTTGCTGTTAAGAAAAGATGATATATAATTAAAATAAAGCGGCCGGGCGCGGTGGCTCAAGCCTGTAATCCCAGCACTTTGGGAGGCCGAGGCGGGTGGATCACGAGGTCAGGAGATCGAGACCATCCTGGCTAACACGGTGAAACCCCGTCTCTACTAAAAATACAAAAAACTAGCCGGGCGTGGTGGCGGGCGCCTATAGTCCCAGCTACTTGGGAGGCTGAGGCAGGAGAATGGCGTGAGCCCGGGAGGCGGAGCTTACAGTGAGCCGAGATCACGCCACTGCACTCCAGCCTGGGAGACATAGCGAGACTCCGTCTCAAAAAAATAAAATAAAATAAAATAAAGCTGGCCAGGTGCAGTGGCTTACGCCTGCAATCCCAGCACTTTTGGAGGCTGAGGCAGGTGGATCACCTGAGGTCAGGAGTTCAGGGCCAGCCTGGCCAACGTTGTGAAACTCCGTCTCTACTAAAATTACAAAAATTAGTCGGGCGTAGCTGGGTGCGGTGGCTCATGCCTGTAATTCCAGCACTTTGGGAGGCCGAGATGGGCGGATCACCTGAGGTCAGGAGTTCAAGACCAGCCTGACCAACATGGAGGAACCCCGTCTCTCCTAAAAATACAAAATTAGCCGGGCTTGGTGGCGCATGCCTTCAATCCCAGCTACTCGGGAAGGCTGAGGAAGGCGAATCACTTTAACCTAGGAGGCGGAGGTTGTGGTTAGCCAAGATCAGGCCATTGTACTCCAGCCTGGGCAATAAGAGCAAAATTCTGTCTCAAAAAAAGAAGAAAAAAAGCCGGGCATGGTGGTGCATGTCTGTAATCCCAGCTACTCGGGAGGCTGAGGCATGAGAATTGTTTGCACCTGGGAGATGGAGGTTGCGGTGAGCCGAGATCGCACCATGGCACACCAGCCTGGGCAATAAAGCAAGACTCTCTTAAAAAAGAAAGAAAAACATACTCTTGGCCAGACACAGTGGCTCACGCCTATAATCCCAGGACTTTGGGAGGCAAAGGCAGGAGGAGCCCAGGAGTTTGAAGACCAGCTTGGGCACTGTAACAAGGCCCTGTCTGTACCAAAATAAAAATTTTAAAATTAGTTATGCATGATGGTGCATGCCTATAGTCCTAGCTACTTGGGAGGCTAAAGCAGGAGGATTACTTGAACCCAGGAATTTGAGGCTTTAGTGAGCTGTGATCATGCCACTATACTCCAGCCGGGGCAACAGAGTTGCTGTCTCTTTTTAAAACAAAACAAAACTTTGCAATGCTGTGCTATAACCGCACTATCCAGCATGGTAACTGCTAGCCACGTGCAGCTGTTATACTCTTGAAATGTGGCTAGTGAGACTGAAGAACTGAATTGTTGGTTGTATGTAATCTTAACTATTATATATTAAAGTAGGCATACATGGGCCGGGCGCGGTGGCTCAAACCTGTAATCCCAGTACTTTGGGAGGCCGAGATGGGCGGATCACGAGGTCAGGAGATTGAGACCATCCTGGCTAACCCGGTGAAATCCCGTCTCTACTAAAAAATACAAAAAACTAGCCGGGCGAGGTAGCAGGTGCCTGTAATCCCAGCTGCTCGGGAGGCTGAGGCAGAAGAATGGCGTGAACCTGGGAGGCGGAGCTTGCAGTGAGCTGAGAACCGGCCACTGCACTCCAGCCTGGGCGACAGAGTGAGACTCCGTCTCAAAAAAAAAAAAAAAAAAAGGCGTACATGGACAGTAGCTACCATGTTCAACTGTGCAGTTCTAAGCCTTTTTCTTAAATTAATGTGTAGATGAATGTGCTGTTTTTTATAAAAATGGTATCATACTCCTTAATGTAGCTTTGTAGCAAACCTTTAATTTAGAAAGTATGTGATCCTTGCTCGTGTTGTTAGATGCTCTTCTTGTACATTGATCTACAGACAGTGCTTTGCAAACATCTTTGTTAACTGAATCTCTGGGCATGTGCTTAAAGATAAATTGCAAGAACGGAACTGCTGCGACAGGGGAAATACGGATGGATGGATGGATGGATGATTAGATGGATGATTGGATGGATGGATGGATGGATGCATGGATGGATGGATACATGGATGGATGGATGATTAGATGGATGGATGGATGGATGGACGCATGCATGCATGGATGGATGGATGATTGGATGGATGGATGGATGGATGAATGATTGGATAGATGGATGGATGCATGGATGGATGGATACATGGATGGATGGATGATTAGATGGATGGATGGACGCATGCATGCATGGAGGGATGGATGAGTGATTGGATGGATGGATGGATGGATGGATGGATGGATGGATGGATGATTAGATGGATGGATGGATGGATGGATGGATGAATGGATGGATGGATGGATACATGGATGGATGGATACATGGATGGATGATTAGATGGATGGATGATTACATGGATGGGTACATGGATGATTGGAGGATGGATGGATGGATGATTGGATGGATGATTGGATGGATGATTGGATGGATGGATGGATATATAGTGAATGCCTGTATATCCTTCACCTAGTTAACATGTTTCCTTCATGTATGTGTGTATATTTTGCTGAAATCATTTGAGAGTTCCTTGGAGACATCATACACTTTACCCCCAAGTATTTTAGCATGAACCACCTAGGAACAAGGATAGTATATAAATAACCACAATAAAATTAATCACACTCAAGAAATTTACCATTGATAGACTACATATTCAGATTTGTTCTTGTTATTTCCATAATGCCCTGCGTGACTTCTCTTTAACCCTCATCCAGGACCCAGTCAAGGATCATACATTATATTTGCTGGTCATGTCTTACGAGTTTTCAGTTTCCTTTAATCTAGAATTCCCTAGACTTTTATTTTCTTTTGGTCTTTTGGTGTCTTTTGATGTTTTTGGTATGTATAGTTTTATCGTATTATTAAATAGATGCTATTTAAACATTTTGTCCTTTCACTAAGTCAAGTAACTTTTTTGTTTTTAAGGTGGGTCATGATAACTGGGTACGTGGAGTTCTGTTCCATTCTGGGGGGAAGTTTATTTTGAGTTGTGCTGATGACAAGACCCTGCGCGTGTGGGATTACAAGAACAAGCGATGCATGAAGACCCTCAATGCGCATGAACACTTTGTTACCTCCTTGGGTATGTACGCCTCGTGACGTCTCTGACATTAGATTTTGGAGTGCCAGACGTAACAGTGTTTTACATGATCATGTGAACTTTGCCAGGTAAGAAATGACCATGTGCTTTCAGAGCAGAATAGAGAAGACAGATGAAAATTTTGTGGATTCCTACCATTTGTTTTAAATTCTCCTTTCCTTAACTCTTTGTATCGTTAGCCTTATAATAAAAATATTACTTTCTGCACTGCACAACATTGGTTTTGGAAACCAGAGTTTATGAAGAGGATACTTAACACTCTGATGGGTAATTTTTCTCCCCTATTAGTTTGTTTCTCAAACAAAATCTTCCTCAACCTTTCCCTCTGGCAGGTGTATACTGTCAGGTACTAGAAACTCAGAAAACTGTATTTGATTTTAGTAAACATCCTCACTGTCATTTGGACTTGCATCTGGAATTTAAGATAGTGAATACAGTCAAGTCTAATAAATACACTGAAGTATAATGGACCAAAGCCTCGGTAAGGTGGAGCTAATGCCTGCCCCACAGGATTGTTTCAAGGATTAGACACGAATATGGAGCATTTGTGCTATGCCTGGAACTTAGTGTTCAGTAAATAGATACGGTGAGACTCTTTATTGTTAGATTTGAGCCCTGCTATGCCTTTAGTCCCAGCTACTCAGGAGGCTGAGGCTGGAGGATTGCTTGAGCCCAGGAGTTCTGGGTTACAGTGTGCTGTGCTGATCGGATGTCTGCACTAAGTGCAGCATCAATATGGTGACCTCCTGGGAACAGGAGACTCCCAGGTTGCCTAAGGAGGGGTGATCTGGCCCAGGGCATGAACAGAGCAGGTCAAAACTCCCCTGCTGATCAGTAGTGGGATCATACCTTTGAATAGCCATTGCAGTCCAGCCTGGGCAACACAGTGAGACCCTGCCTCGAAAAAAAGAAAAAAAAAAAAAAGATTCGAGCACCATTTGGGATGGGCCAAACAGGAACAGGCGTGTTTGTAGAGATGTTAATACAGGTTTTGATCATTGAGTCTCAACTTCCCTGACTAAATTGGCAAACTAGATACCTTCTTGGAGTATGTGTATATTGGAGAAACCTGAAAACTCCTGGTATTTGGGCTTTCTTATTTTGTGGCTCATTAAAAATTGTATCTGGCTCAGAGTGATGGAGGGTTGGGGACCAGGCAGGGTCTTGCTCTGTAACCCAGGTTGGAGTGCAGTGGTGCAGTCATGGCTCGCTGCAGCCTCGACTTCCCAGCTCAGACAGTTCTGCCTCAGTCTCCCGAGTAGCTGGGACTACAGGCACACACTACCATGCCCGGCTAATTTTTTTTTTTAATTTTGTATTTTGTAGAGAGGGAGGTCTCACTTTGTTTGTTGCCCAGGCTTACTGTGGTTTTTAAATAAACCGTTTCTTTTTCAGATTTCCACAAGACGGCACCCTATGTCGTCACTGGCAGCGTAGATCAAACAGTAAAAGTGTGGGAGTGCCGTTGATTGCGTCTCCTTCGGCCCCTCCTCCCTCTTTTCCTCTGGATGCACTCTGATGATACCATGGTTACCCCCATTGAGCTCTGTTTAAATAAATATTGTCCTTTCATGTAAATTATTCTGGATGTAGATTGAGCTTATTAAATGTTACACACAAAGTATTCATGCATGGTGAATCCAAATTGTATACTGTAAATTTACATACGTTGTCTAGAAGTACCATAGGGGTTTAAAAACCTGGGCTGGCATTGGTCACACCAGGCCTAAGAAGGCAGAAGTTGAATCATTTGAACTAGGGCACTAAACTGAATAGTTGACAGTGTCATTTTATGTTGGATTATTAATTCCTGTTTTTCTTTCTGCTATCTGTTGGTGCCTGACTTGATGGCCTCATTTGGGGAAAAGTGGTGGTTATTAGGGCTTTTTCTGAAATGTGTATCTATGTAACATCACTTAAGTGTGCTTAATAAATCTTTAAGGATTTTAGATAATAAGGCAACAATTCAGAATCTTCTGAACCATCTATGTAATGAATGGGGATTACACATTGGATTTTTCTCATGACACATTTGCCAAATCAGTAGGATATATTTGTTTTGGCAGCCTATCAAGCAAAGGCTAGTGGTATATTTATGTAAGAAAATGACTGTAAATCTCAAGAAAAATCTCAGCAGCTAATTGCAACTCATTTATTTCATTTCGGTCTTAATGCTTTGTAAACAGGTCAAAAAATCCTATCATACTCTAAGCTTCTATTTTACACACTAGACATACTTCTAGTTGTATTCTCCATACTATTAGACTGTAGTGATGTGACTTCCAAGTAGAATGTAATCTTCCCATTGAGTGTGTCATGGTACAAATCACTATTTGTTTTTGGTGTTTTTTAGGGATGTGCAATGTGCATTACATAATGACAGAAGTACTGAGAAGGTTCTGTGTGCCCATTTGAAAGGAGAGGGAGGAATACAGCAGTTGGTTTTTCAACATGAATCTGATAATTGATTTAAACTGTGTTTCACTTACAGGTTTTATAAAATGACAGGGTTTAATGGAGCGTGCATAAAAATGTACTGTTTTCACCTTTTGTTTATATGTAAATGTTTGTAAGTATATGGGCCTATCTGTAAGTGGATAAGTCTATATGTGTGTATCATACACATCAACCTCCACGTCCTTAGTCCTGGGTTTTTGAAAAAGTGCTAAAACGGACAAGTAGAATAAATCTTGCTGTGGAATGCCATGCTTTAGAACAAACCCTTTTTGATCTTAATGCTTCTGAAAACTAGGTCTGACTCTGGGGATTTTTTCCAGCCGAAGGAAAATCACTTCCGTTATTTCCCCCTCTAATTTAGCCGCTTGACATTTTACACAGCCCAGATATATTGTATATTTTGACCCAAAGTTACAAGTAGGTTTAAGAGAATTTTTACCCATGACTTTTGGAGCACTATTCCATTGTCAGTTATTAATAAAGAATTCCATTGCTTAGCTAACCAACGGGTTTTTTTTTTTTTCCCAAGAAAGTTATTTGAAAAGTTAACAGAACAATGAGATAACAGTGACAGTTTAACAGAGAGAAAATTCTGAATTGCATTTTATTCATTTGTGTACTACGTGATTTTTTAAATGTCCCCTTTAGTATTTAATGGAAATTTGGTTCCTGCAAAAGACGAAGGGTGAGAGTTAACGTCCTGTAGATACACACAGAGACTAGGCCGTCTATTAACTAGAAGCAACTTTATGTCTAGCTTGTGTCTTTTTGTTTGTTTGTTTGCTTGTTTGTTTTTAGATTCCTGAGAGATGTCTCTGGAAGGGAAAGTTTTGAGAACTAATGGCTATTTTTGAGGACAAAAATTACATCTTAATTAAGCTAATTCCTTAAATACATACAAGTAGGTGAATTTTCAGGACAATATTGCCTCACAACCCTGCTTACATTGAAAAGTCTTTTTCCCTTAGCTCTTCTGACTGGATTTTTCTACAAAAACTATGGAAAATATCTTTGTTCTTGTTTGCTGCTATTTTCTGTCCTATTTTGAGAAATATAAATACATAGAAATGGTGCATCTTAACATTTGTTTGTACATGTATAAATGTCTTGTATTTTAATTCATTTTTAGCATGAATTGTTTAAGGGTAAGCCACAACATCTAGAAATCACTCATAGATAATTGAACAATAAAGGAGAATGGTACCGATGCAGGAGGAAGCAAGCGTGTCTTCCCCTGCGGCACACAGCGACTTGCGTTGAGAAGGAGGAGGAAACGATTACTCTAAACAAAGTTATCCTTACTTGGGAGATTGCCACAGCCTGCTGCTGAGTTGAGTTACCAGACATCCTCCATGTGAGAAGCAGCGAACATTGAATCTCAGGGATGGCCCACAACTGGGTCCACATGTAACGAGCCCTGTTTAATAACGAAGGGGTTGGGGAGAGCAGTCCGTCTACAACCTGGAATCAGATTTGCAAAGGTTTCCTGCACTGCTGTCTGACACTGTCCTGTTGATGCCCTTTCTGACTGTGTTCTCTGTTTTCTCTGTCTGCTGTCTAACCCTGTGCCTTGCCTGGGATAAGGACAATGATGAGGTTACTGGTTTGGATTGTAAGTAGAGGACTTTTATTAATTGGTTTAGAGGTTCACTGCTGCTTTGTCACTTTCTCAATCAAATTGGCCACTTATTTAAGAAATAAAAAGCTGGTAGAATTGCATCCTCAGATGATTATTGACTGTGTGTGTGTGTGTGAAAACAGACATTCCAGTGCCACCCAAGTATCTCTTACGTGCCCAAGAAATCCTAGCTGTGCTCTGGAGAGTGCAAGCCATGGAAACTGTTCAGACAGCGCGTGGAGCCTAGTTGCCTGTTGTCACAGCAGCTTGCGCTTTAGGAGACTAAGACAGTCCTGGTTCGTCTGTGTGTGGTGTGACCAGTGGTGTGCCCAGAGCACTCCTCTCAGAATCACTAGTGTTAGCAAGTCGTCCCAGGCTGGGGAGCACTCGCTGTAGTCTTTGGAAAGCTTTGGCTTTAGATTTACCAAGCCCCGTCTCCCCACTGCCAGTGCCCTGCTCTCCCGTTCGCCTCTTTCTGTTTATGTGTGAACTTCCCAGTAATATCACTCGTTAAATAGATTTTCTTTAAATTTATTTAAAGAACAACTATTTAAAAGTAAAGGATATTTTGTTGACATTGGTGGCTTGATCGTCCTTAAGCAACTGAAGTTAAAATTGTTGAAGGAAAAGGCACTTAAACTGGTTACTCTTTCTTGTCCAGCTGTATATAAGTCCAGTGTGTTCATTAATCTAGCTGACACAAAGAAGAATCTCCTGGTAGAGAAGCGACGTGTAAAAAACTGGTGGAAAAAGGTTTTGGATTTTTTTCCAGTGGGGTGGGGGGAGGGCAAGCTGGATTTACAGGTCACGGCTGGACTGAATGGGCCTTTTTATCTTCCCACCGTATCATGGAAGTAGCTGCTTGCTTGTACTGCCTATCCTTCAGGCATCCCTAAAGCTCACTCTGAAGATGGTAGAGACAAACACAGACTCCTGGAGTCAAAGTTGATCCTGACACTGACACGAAGGCAAGCCTTGATTTCATATGAACATTGCAGAGGTGGCGATTGAGAAAACAGTTCCCCAGATTGTAAGAGTTCACTGAAGATATTGACACAATTTAAAAAAACAAATCAGTAAAGGAATGTATATAATATTGCTCTCGTGTTTTACAGTAAGATTTGTTGCTCTCAGACTGTGTAAAACAAAATTTATTCATGTTTTCTGCATATTAAAAAATCTTATTGTACCAATTGGTAAACTATTAAATGCCTATAAAACTAGATGTGATTTTTTTTTTTGGGGGGGGGGTCTTCCTTTGCACAGGTGAAATCCTGATGGAAAGTGGGGCTGTATGTAGCACCAGTCACAAAGAGTGACACGAATTGGTGTGAGGGCGGTAGGGCCTGATGAGCTGCTTGAGGGCAGCACCCGGACTGGCTTTGCTGTCCCCTTTCCCCCAGGTGGAGGAGGGAGTGCCGTAGCGTGGGCCCTTACCATGGCGGGCATCTGCGGTACAGGCCAGCTCTCCCCCACCCTCCCACCAGCCCATTCTGACGATGGCTATTGCTGTGGCCAGAGTCAAACCCAGGATGACCGGTTACAGGCCCAAGACTAGACTCTTGGGGTCAGAGTCTAGAGATAAGGGACCCTGCCGGGCGCGGTGGCTCACGCCTGTAATCCCAGCCTTTAGGGAGGCAGAGACGGGAGGATAGCTTGAGCCCAGGAGTTCAGTACCTCTGGGCAATATAGCGAGACCCCGTTCTCCACAAAAATGAGGGGAAAAAAAGAGATGGGGCCCTACCCTCTTTGTTCTGTGAGTGAACCTCTTATCTTGCTCAGTGGTCTTGGATTCATGAAGGTAAATCCTTAATACTGTTTTCAATTTTGGTTGCAACATACCAAAATAAGAATGTTCATCTTTGTCCCAGAAACCCCAGCTCTGTACTTTACACGGGGCTGTATCTTGTATTCGGGGTACCTACCAAGGACAGTTTGGTGATGTGCTGGTTCCTTTCTTACAGCCCATTTGTTTTCCTGCCTCCTGTTGGGAGTAGTAGCCTCCCCCAGAATAGGAGCTTGGCCCAGAGCGAAAAAGAAATGGGCTGGGCGCAGTGGCACGCCTGTAATCCCAGCACTTTGGGAGGCCGAGGCAGGCAGACTGCCTGAGCTCAGGAGTTTGACACCAGCCTGGGCAATACAATGAAACCCCGTCTCTACTAAAAATACAAAAAATCAGCCAGGCGTGGTGGCGCGCATCTGTAGTCCCAGCTACTTGGGAGACTGAGGCAGGAGAATCGCTTGAATCTGGGAGGTGGGGGTTGCAGTGAGCTGGGAATGCACCACTACACTCCAGCCTGGGCAATAGAGCAAGATTCCAGCTCAAAAAAGCAAGAAAAAAGAAATAGGCCTGAAGTTAGTTCACTGCACTTTTGCAGCTTTTCCATCTCCTTGCAAGACTCTTCCAGGCTGAGATCCAGATGACAGGGCTCCGGGGCAGCATTAGTATCACTATCCAGAAATGCCATTAGCTGTTCAAAACCTGGCAAGTAACTCACTGGCATGTAACAGCCTCAAACCTCCTTCAGGAGTCATGACTCTGTATGGCCTTTGATGCAGGGGGAGGGTAGCTGGCTGTGGAAGCTCCGTCTGTCCCTGCCTAGCCTGGCGAAACCTGACTTGTGTGCAGACAGTTCTTAACTGCTGACACACCAGAAGCTCCAGGACAGGGATCCTCAAAGTGTGTTCCTTGGTGCAGCAGCATTAGCAGCAGCTGGGAGCTCGTTAGAGACGCAGGTCGTAGGCCCCACCTCAGACCCCCTGAATCGAAAAGGTGCAGCCTGCTTGCTTTATTTATAATCTAACAAGCCTTTCCAATGAGTCTGAGGCAGGCTCAGGTTTGAGAACCACTGAGCTAAATGATTCAGCTTCTCACCAAAGAAACTTGGGCACATCACTGGCCCCTTGGCCCCACAGCTCAGGTTTCGATCCTGATCTTTCCTCTTTCATCCTTTGTTTACTTTTTGAGACGGGGTGTCACTCTGTCGCCCAGGCTGGAGTGCAGTGGGGTGATCTAGGCTCACGGCAACCTCTGCCTCTGGGGTTCAAACAATGCTCCTGCCTCAGCCTCCCAAGTCGCTGGGATTGCCAGCACGCGCCACTGTGCCTAGCTAATTTTTGTATTTTTAGTAGAGACAGGGTTTCACTATGTTGGCCGGGCTGGTCTTGAACTCCTGACCTCGTGATCTGCCCGCCTGGGCCTCCCAAAGTGCTGGGATTACATGTGTGAGCCACCGTGCCCGGCCCATCCTCACTTTGAACATGTGGGGTTTATTCCTTTGTGACAATTTCCTATCATCTTCGTTCCCACTTGATCACCTGACCTTGAGACTCTGTCTCAAAAATAAAATAATGGCTTACTCACAAATGAGGGCATTTCACCTGCCATTCAAGGATGGCTGCGCCTGCACTCTGGGCGGGGTGAGGTGTTGGAGGGGGAGCCTGATTGATTTGGTAGTTTAGACCTTAGAGGTAGGGGAGAGGAAAATTTGGGCCACATCAGGATACCTTACTTTCCAGCTGTAGGATATGTAGAAATTTCCCCAATTAAGTGTGTGTGTGTGTGTGTGTGTGTGTGTGTGTGTGTGTGTGTGTGTCAGTCTCACTCTTGTTGCCCAGGCTGTGTGTGTGTGTGTGTGTGTGTCAGTCTCACTCTTGTTGCCCAGGCTGGAGTTGGAGTGCAGTGGTGTGATCTTGGCTCACTGCAACCTCTGCCTCCTAGGCTTCAGGCGATTCTCCTGCCTCAGCCTCCCGAGTAGCTGGGATTACAGGTGCCCACCACCACGCCCAGCTAATTTTTGTAATTTTAGTGGAGATGGGGTTTTGGCATGTTGGCCAGGCTGGTTTCGAACTCCTGGCCTCAAATGAGCTGCCAGCCTCGGCTTCCCAAAGTGCTGGGAATACAGGCATGAGCCACCGCGCCCGGCCCAGGACCCCACTTTTTAAAAAATTGAAACCTGTCACCTAAAAGAAGGGAAGGCAAAAGAATGGATTTCACACCTAGAGCCTCCACTTGCTTTATGGAAACAGCCCCTTGTGATTTGGGTCGTGAAAAGATGTCTGAGGGCACTAATACGCGTAAAGGATCAGCCAGGAAACACGGGCCTCTCAGGTGACGGGAGGTACAATGGTAACCACATCTGATCCGTTCGCACCTTCACAGGAGGCCCCATTTTGAGAGGTGCGTGAACGTGTGGTCCATGTTCCCAAAACTCAGGAGAGGGGAAAGCATGTGTAGGACACGCCGGTGAGACGGCGAAAGCTGCTGGGGCTGGGGCTGCTGGAAGTACGGGAGGTCTCTGGAGCAGGCCACTTGCTGGTGGCTGTCCCCGGCTGTCACCTAAAACCTCCAGGTCAGAAGCACCTTTTCTCCAGTTGGCTCAGGAAAACTAACAGACTCAGGGTTGGAATTTTTTTCTTTTCAGAATTTCCGAGACGTACAGATCTCTCCAAGCATCCCAAAAGGCGTTTGTTCCTGGTGGGGCCGAGGGCCTGTTCTTGGAGACAGATGGCGAGCCGCGGCCAGCAGCTGCCCTGAGTGCTCAACTTCCCCTCTAGAGACAGGCTTTGCCAGGCGCGGTGGCTCACGCCTGTAATCCCAACACTTTGGGAGGCTGAAGCGGGTGGATCACGAGGTCAGGAGTTCAAGACCAGCCTGGCCAAGAGGGAGAAACCCTTCTCTGCTAATACAAAAATTAGCCGGGTGTGGTGGTGCATACCTGTAGTCCCAGCTACTCGGGAGGCTGAGGTAGGAGAATCATTTGAACCCCGGGGGTGGAGATTGCAGTGAGCTGAGATTGTGCCACTGCACTCCAGCCTGGGCGACAGAGTGAAACTGTCTCAATAAATTAAATAAACAGAGACAGGCTTTGCCCCTCAAGTCCGCCTGAGTCTCGGCTCTCTAAATCCTACCCAAGGGTGGCAAACTTGAGGCCCTCCTCCCTGCCCCCAGTGTCTCACCTCTGTGAGTGCTACCCAACCTCCTTCCCACCTTGAATGAAGCGACATGGGCAGGTGCCCAGCCGGGGGGGTGTTAATGACCTCACGGGATCAGCATGCACAGGGCCTGGCCCCACAGCCCAGCACCCCTCCCCACCTGGCCTTCACTGCATTTCTTCTATGCCCAATGACAGGTGACATTCGCCTGCACGACACTCCAGCGAGCCTGGTGACTGACTGGCAGCTCGGTGAATTCCAGCTGAGTGCCTGTGATTCCACCCCCTTACCTCCTGCTCGAGTGACAATGTAAGCATGACCTCGAAATTGACCTCACTTGTATCTATTCCTCTCCCAGTCACATTCCTGTCAGCCTTCACCATCCACCCAGACCGGGTTACAGAACACTCAGGTGAGCCTGCGGCCGCAGGTTTCAAAAACTCACTTTATTCCAATGTGAAATGAGGACGTGATGGTTTAAAAACAAGAAAAAGTTCTTGCTCAGCGGTGGGGATACTTTGCTTGCTAGCTCACGCCCATCCCCTTTGAAACAAGGTGTCTGCACAGACCACACCCAAAAGCAGCTCTCCGTAAACCCAGGCGGACGCCCGTCTCCTCCAGGTCTCAGGGTGGTCACGTCCTCCCCAACCAGGGCTCTGACAGCAGGCACAGAGCAGCAGCACAGGAAGGGGGCGCGGGAAGAGCGGGGCCTGTGGGGGCCCCCACCACCCCCAGAGCTAGTCTCAGACCAGGAAGGGAGCTGGGCTCCAGAGAAGTGACATCACATCGGCACCTGTAACTTCCCCCAGCCCCGCCCCCGCCCACTGTGCGTTAGGCAGCTCAGGTTCGAACCAGGAGAGGGATACATTCAGATTGCAGACCCCAAGCGTATGCCCAGCTGGGTGCAGGGAGCAGGGAGCCGAGCCAGAGCCTACGGCAGCGCCACCCACTGGGCTTGAGGGCAGACAAGCCAGGGCCGGGCACACGGGCTGAGGGCCCAGCACAGCCAACCCTGACCCCTTCATTTGGGAGCAGCAGCCACACCAGGCCAATCACAACTAAAACAGCCCTGCGGCTCCTGTCCTGCCCCAAACTAAAGTGCACCCCAAACCCTCCAGCCCTGCCACAGAGCTCTGGCTCCCCATCCCAGGACACAGGAAAGGCCCCTCCCCACCATGCTTTTTGGCTTTAAACCTGAACTTTCAGAGAGGTTGGGCCTAGGGGTAGTGGCAGCAAAAGCAGCAGCCATCATGTCGACCATACAAACGACCTGAGAAATCCCACCTGT